ATGTCTATGTAATATTAGAATTTTCTGAGACAATGAATTTTGGTTTTTCATTTTTTTACCCTGTAAGAGGTTTTTTATTTAATAGAATTTTTGGATAAAAAAATCGCAATATATCGCCTTGCTTACAGTATCGCAATATATCGCGATATATCGTATCGTGACCCCTCTGTCATGATATGAATCGTATCGCTAAATTCTTGCCATTACACAGCCCTACGGTTTAGTGGTGAGTAATAAAGTGTAATAAATAAATAAATATCTGTACTTATTTACATGTTGCTGAGTCGCTGCGGTCGGGGGAGGTGCCGATACATCACTGCTCCCTCAAACCTGCAGCCACAGTCTGGTCTGCACTGGGTGTGGGTGGGGGTCTGACTGAGTCAGGCCGGTGGTCTGGTCAGACCCATTCCTCTCTAATCCACCTGGAATCAGCTGCTCTGTCATAGTGAGGTTTATCCAGCAGATTAGTTGGGAGCTGCTGATCCCACCAGGCACAGTCCTGCTGTCTGAAACTGGGATGATGACATAACGGCTGAAGTGCTGCGGCGTCTGCTCGTCTCTGATTGGTCCGTTGGCCTCTCCGGGATGAGTCGTACACAGGAAGTCATGTTTGGTTACTTCAGAGATGAACTTCCTGAACTTCAGTCAGACTGAGTCTCTGCTGGGACTAAAACTGTTACTGGTTTAGAACCAGTTTGATGAATAACGAGTTTCAGAGCTTGTTTTTGTGACGTGGAGGAGAATAAAAAAACGAGGTGTTGTTACGTTTTAAAGTCAGGATTATTTGACCTGTTGATGTGAGGGCAGTATGGATCCCAGCGGGTATTTTTAGTCGGGCTCGGATCGATCCTGTGGTTTAGTTCAGGTTAATGTGGCTTCAGGGACTTCACAGAACCGATGTTGTCACTTCTGAGCAAACAGGCAGAAATTACAACTCAGTTTCCTCAATATTTAAATCTGTGGACAGAACGAAGCTGTTTGTAACACGGAAACCAAAGGTAACATGACTCAGCAGAATTACTGCGCAGCCGCTGCAGGGTCACTGCCTTGTTAGATTAGTACAGGGGTCTGCAACCTGCGGCTCTGGGGCCACATGTGGCTATTTGAAAATGTGACCAAACTACAGAATATTATTTTTAATTTTTTTTGTTTTTATACTCACAACAGAAACGAACTATATGTGATGAATACTACTAATACAAAAAGGAAAACCTGTTTTTTAGCTCATGCTAGCCTGTTGTCTACCTAAATAATCCAACTTCTTTCCATGATCTTTCCCTCAAATCAATCAGGGTTATCTTTTAAACATCTTAAGACTACATAATAATAAGAATTAGAAAAAATATGTCTGAATAGTTCAGTTGTAGTAGTTGTAATGAC